CTATTGTGTCGGCATGTGTAGGGGTATGGGGTCCTATTGTGTCGGCATGTGTAGGGGTATGGGGCCTATTGTGTCGGCCTTTTATTAGGATAGGGGTCTATTGTGTCGGCATGTGTAGGGGTATGGGGCCTATTGTGTCAGCATGTGTAGGGGTAGGGGCCTATTGTGTCGGCCTATTATAAGGATAGGGGTCCATTGTGTCGGCATGTGTAGGAGTAGGGGGTCCTATTGTGTCGGCATGTGTAGGGGTATGGGGCCTATTGTGTCGGCCTATTATAAGGATAGGGGTCTATTGTGTCGGCATGTGTAGGGGTATGGGGTCCTATTGTGTCGGCATGTGTAGGGGTATGGGGCCTATTGTGTCGGCCTTTTATTAGGATAGGGGTCTATTGTGTCGGCATGTGTAGGAGTAGGGGGTCCTATTGTGTCGGCCTATGTATAAGGGTAGGGGGTCTATTGTGTCGGCCTATGTAAAAGGGTAGAGGGTGTATTGTGTCGGCCTATGTATAAGGGTAGAGGGTGTATTGTGTCGGCCTATGTATAAGGGTAGAGGGTCTATTGTGTCGGCCTATGTATAAGGGTAGAGGGTCTATTGTGTCAGCCTATTATAAGGATAGGGGTCTATTGTGTCGGCCTATTATAAGGATAGGGGTCTTTTGTGTCGGCATGTGTAGGAGTAGGGGGTCCTATTGTGTCGGCCTATTATAAGGGTAGAGGGTGTATTGTGTCGGCCTATGTATAAGGGTAGAGGGTGTATTGTGTCGGCCTCTGTATAAGGGTAGAGGGTCTATTGTGTCGGCATGTGTAGGGGTAGGGGGTCTATTGTGTCGGCATGTGTAGGGGTATGGGGCCTATTGTGTCGGCCTATTATAAGGATAGGGGTCTATTGTGTCGGCATATGTAGGGGTAGGGGTATATTGTGTCGGCATGTGTAGGGGTATGGGGTCCTATTGTGTCGGCCTATGTATAAGGGTAGGGGTCTATTGTGTCGGCATATGTAGGGGTAGGGGGTCATATTGTGTAGGCATGTGTAGGGGTATGGGGCCTATTGTGTCGGCATGTGTAGGGGTATGGGGCCTATTGTGTCGGCCTATTATAAGGATAGGGGTCTATTGTGTCGGCATGTGTAGGAGTAGGGGGTGCTATTGTGTCGGCATGTGTAGGGGTATGGGGCCTATTGTGTCGGCCTATTATAAGGATAGGGGTCTATTGTGTCGGCATGTGTAGGGGTATGGGGTCCTATTGTGTCGGCATGTGTAGGGGTATGGGGCCTATTGTGTCAGCATGTGTAGGGGTAGGGGTCTATTGTGTCAGCATGTGTAGGGGTATGGGGTCCTTTTGTGTCGGCCTATGTATAAGGGTAGGGGTCTATTGTGTCGGCATGTGTAGGGGTATTGGGCCTATTTTGTCAGCATGTGTAGGGGTATAGGGTCCTTTTGTGTCGGCCTATGTATAAGGGTAGGGGTCTATTGTGTCGGCATGTGTAGGGGTAGGGGGTCATATTGTGTCGGCCTCTGTATTAGGGTAGGGGGTCTATTGTGTCGGCATGTGTAAGGGTAGAGGGTGTATTGTGTCGGCCTATGTATAAGGGTAGAGGGTCCTATTGTGTCGGCCTATGTATAAGGATAGGGGTCCATTGTGTCGGCCTATGTGTAGGGGTGGGGGGTCTATTGTGCCGGCCTATGTTGAAGGGCGAGGCTGCTACGGCTGCGTTTGTTAGTTGTGTAATGCCGCACTCAGCAATTTTCTAGCTCTGGCACCTATTACATACTCCGCTGATCACAGGCTGTGCAACATTGAACGTATTGGCTGCCAGTTTCCAGGGTAACCTCGTTTCCAGCATGTCAACAGCCCGTAGACGCCGCGCGTTGCAGGCCCCGCATCGCTAGTTCGTACACAAACAATGAATAAAATCAAGTACCTCACAACTGTATGTAATTAAATCAATAAGATCGACAGACATAATGGTCCACAGAGATTAATCGACCTTCCTTGAAAGTGTCAACATCAGGTATGACGCACTGTGCACGTGTGTGATGCGTGATGCACGGGAAAACTACAGAATGTGTTTTTAGTGTGAAGTTTTCCAGATATGACGTTCTTAGGATGTTTTTCGACAACACTTATCTTTGCTCTCATACTTGGTATTAAAATTTATATTTCATGATCCCTTACTATCTTTGAGACCCGTGAAGATACGGGGTAGAATCGGGTTTCAGCAACCAATGTTTGCTGCGAAAGGTGTAAATGCTTGCCGTGAGAGGCGACTAACGGGATCGGGTGGTCAGGCTCGCTGACGTAGTTGATGCGTGTCATCGTATCCAAATTGCGTGGATCGATGCTTATGATATCAACACTGGATTGTCTGTTCCAGACTCGTTTATTTACAGACCACCGTCATATAGCTGGAATATTCCTGATCACGAGTGCGGCGTTAAACAACAAACAAATACTATCTGTGAAGATATAGTATATTAAAGAAGTTGTTATCCATAAATTGTGTCTGCCTTGTCGCCCGCCAGCCTCTAAGTAATGCCTCTAAATGGCATTGTGTATTCATGCCTTTTAAACAATGTTAAACAGGCATTAGGGCCACACTAGTATAATCAGTCACTTGACACACGTGCATTGTGTGTCTGGATTGTTTGTATGGTTAAGCCATGTTTTATGTAACTGCGAATGAGATGCAATTAAATCATCCCGTCTGTCTGTCTGCATGGACCTCTCGTCACATTCATTCAAATCATTCAACACTCTCCTTGTGTAACCCAACTTTTATGACGTACATCAATAGATGCTAATGATGACGAGAGTGTGTCTCAGTTACGCTAGATACTAATTAGACCTTGACGTATAATGGGGGAGATTATTCTCTCTCTGTAATGGGCACTGGAAAATTGATCCCTCTTTCAAGTCTTTGAAATAGAAAAGACCCTTAAGTTCCCGGCATGTTTAGAAAAGACCCTCGGGGTCGGGGATGGGTTTGTTTGGGAGGGGGGCGGAGGGTATGGTGGTGGGGGGTCAGTATGGGATGTACATGCAGCTGGGACTTAAATCCTTTAACATAATGTTTCTTGTAAACTCAAGCAACATTGTCTGTTTTCAATTATGATTATGATTATGATTTTTATTATTATTATTATTATTATTAATAATAATAAAAAAGGACAGTCAAGTTCTAACTCTCAGGCACAATATAGTAATAATTAAATAAGTGGAGTAAGATTGAACACAGTTTTAATTGGCTAGCGCTTTCAACATTACCACGTACGAGTCTCATCAGACTATTACCAGTTATGGCCTGATGAGACTCGTACGTGGTGATGTTCAATCTTACTCCACTTATTTAATTATTACTAAATCAAAATTAATTGGTCGCTCGACATGCATTGTATCCTTACCAAAATGTGTTATTTTTTAGATTTGTCACCTCCTGCCTTCAAAGACAAAATGATGTGTGTTCTGAAGCTGTAACCGGACACATATCCTGTCTGTAACAAAACTCAAATATCAAATGGTCGGTCATCATCAAACGAACCCGGCGAGCCACACGGTTGCTGTTCCCGTTACGCCTCATTCGGTCTCTGTTCAGTCCGCTGTTATACATATCTCTGCGCAATGGAATATTTGTCAAATCTTATAATGATTGTACTACATAGTTTAGCACTTAAGAGCTTTTATTATGAATATATTTGTTTTCTGGTGTCTTGTAGGTCATTTTTGGCCGGACATTGTACATTGATGAATGTTTTGTATTATCTTATACGTATGTACATTGTGTGACACCAATCACACCTGGATTGTCTGGTCCAGACTCGATTGTTTACAGACCGCCGTCATACAGCTGGAATGTATGTTTGTTTGTTTAACGCCGCACTCGGCAATACCCCACCTTCACGACGACGGTCTGTAAATAATCGGCAATCTTGGGTTGCTGAAGACCTATTCTACCCCGGATCATCACGGGGCATAGTAAATGCGGGCGATTAGGTAGCCTAGTGGCTAAGCGTTCGCTCGTCGTGCCGAAGACCCGGGTTCGATTCCCAACATGGGTGCAATATGTGAAGCCCATTTTTGTTGTCTCCCATCGTGATATTGCTCGAATATTGCTAAAAGCGGCGTAAAACCACACTCACAGTAAAAACAATTACATACAAATTTGACTTTTATCATAAACATTTAAATCCTTGTTCAGGGCTCTATATTACCTAAAGCCCTCGTCAGCATGTTTTGAAAACGTGCAACCGTTTGATAAAATACTCTATCAGGACACCAACGGGGCGGTGAGGTAGCCTAGAGGCTTAAGCATTTGCTCATCACGCCGAAGTCCAGGGTTCGAAACCCCACATGGCGGAAATGTGTACAGCCCATTTCTGGTATTCCCCGCCGTGATATTGCTGGAATGTTGCACAAAGCGGCGTAAAGCCGTACTCACTCACTCAGTCAGGACACCACGAAACTGGGAAAAGCCTTGTGTCATGACTTGTAAATATGAGCTCGCGATGGAGCTTGGAGCACGGGCAACGACAGCAGAGAACCAGTTCCCCGTGCATCACGCAAGCGTGACTCACACTGCATACGATCCTTTTTTCTCGGCTTCTTTATTTTAAAGAAATTGAGAGTTACTCGGTTACATGTTCCCTCTTGAGAAAATGTGGGAACAGCAAATACAAAGGGACGTAACTCTGCGTGTCGTAATTAATAAACGACGCGACCAAATTGCATCATGTCAGGTCATCCCGCTCCGTTTGGGTTGTTTTCTATTGTGCCTCGAGAGCGTTTTTCTGGTTTGGCGACTGCAGTGTGTTCACGGATGCCTGCACTTGTCGTGCGCTTTTGTCAGCATTAATAAACTCTCATCTCATCTGTACTTTAATAGTCTATTTCATGGAGCTGCGCATTTAAAAGCATTACGTTGACGAGGAACGCATTTACGTATTAAAACATCATCCACGATCTTTATATAGACAGTATCTGGAGAAGTGTATGTTCAAACGTTTCAACACATCCCAAAACACATTTCCCTTTGATTAAGCAGGAAAACATTCCGAAAACAAGGCCTTGGAATGTGTCGCTCGAACGAGATTGACACATTCTGGAGCCCGCCAGCCTCGGACTGGCCTAGGCTAAATAGACTATGAATTGATCCCTTGGCGTATTCGGGTGACACCGAGCACTGCGACAACACGTGGCGATATAGTTCGTCACAGTTTATATCGCGATTGTTTCACAGTGGCAGCACAGCTCTAAGACACCTGTTGATATGGAAACAAGACAAATCGAAGACATGGATAGCTCACCTGATAAAGTCATCCCACCTGAGAACTTTGAAGATTTGATTGCACGGCTTCGGGACATATTTCAGTCCGACAAAGTCAATATTGACTATGTCAAAAGCCTCATGAGTGCATATAAGAGCGATAGAAGTGAATGGAAAAAATTCGCAAAATTTGACCGTAACAGGTAAGTGTGTTTCTTTGTAGTTTGCTTTAAAACAATGCATTGCCATTTTTGTGCGACCCAGCTGAGAGGACGTATTTAATCATGATGTTGATTCAAATATTTAACTGTTGGTGTGTTTTGTCTGCAGATATAAATTTGTATATGGCTATTCTGTGTTAAATTACTGTCTCCAGGTTTGAAATAAATTCATCCGTGAAAATCCGGGTAGATGATCATGGTGTCAATCACTGGATTATCTGGTCCAGACTCGATTATGTACAACCCAGCGTCATATAGCTGGGACATTGCTGAGTGCGGCGTAAAAC